CTCCTGTGTGGAATAAAACCTTCAGCTCATGCTCAATAAAGTCCTTTGCCATTAATACATGTTCTACTTGCACCACAGTAAAAACACATGCACTGAATATTAAACACTAAATATTTGATTAACGTTGTTTTATTTAACTTCTCATCTGTTATCGCTGCTTGTTTTGCGCTTTGAAAGAACAGATAAAGACTTTTAAACCACCTAATTCCTGACTTATGATTCTGTTTCTATGTAAGGACTCATATAAAAGTCATACATAGACATGTGCGGTTGTATGCAAAAGTTTGTGCACCCCCAGCCAAATTACATATCATTGATTACTGAAGTGAAAACAAACCCAAGTTCTGCAGCAGACCATTAAACAAAATAATAAAATGTTAATAAACAGGTGTTTATAATTGATTACTTTTTTTTAATTTTTTACATGAATCCAACATAAAGTGGTTGTGTTTACTTCTCTCCACTTCAAAAATAAACAAAATATTTAATTTGGCCAGGGATGAAAAAACTTTTACGTACTGTGTATGCATAACATGGTCATGTATGTCTCTGTACTTGACTGAGGTAGATATAAATATTATTGTTATATAGATATGTAAGTAACTATATGTAATAACGATAAGCCCCATATACATTATATATATAATATTGCTGACTGAACAAAGCTTTGTAGCTCCATTTTACTCATTTTTCAGAAACGTTGTTTTTTTTTGTTTGTTTTTTTTTTACAAAATTTGATTTTCGTGATGAATAGATCAGTATAAATGCTCCAAAAGTACCGGGAAACGAAAACGCAAAAGTCAGAGACCACCCTTCTACATCAGAGACTACATCTCCAGTGTACTTAATGAATGGCCCTTCAGTTCAGGTTATTTGTTTCAGGAGATTTTTCTGAGGAGATTAGAAATAAAATAATCCATATAATCCTTTATAAAAAAAAAAAATTCATGTGCATAAACCAAAATGTATTTGAGATTATTTGGATTGTGAGAGGCAGAACATGCCTCCAACTTCCAAGACTGAACTTTCTAAGGTGTGGAAAAAATATCCCTGCAGATTTCTTTAAGAAACTGAAAACGTTGTATCTTCATTGTTGTAATTTTTGATATTTTTTGCAGAATTTGAAAATGCCAGCTGCCCTTTACAATGTTTATTTTTTGTTTTAATGATTAGACCAATAGAAATGTTTAAAAAGTATTATGCCATTAGCTTACATTAAAGCTTAAGAATGTTCTCCTGTAAACTTGCCATTTTGGAAATACAAGGTAATACAGGAAATACAAAAGAGTGACACACTAAATACTGAAAGTGAGATTCTTTATTTAACTCTTGAGCCCTCTGCATATTTCTGATAAATATGTTTTCTATATTTAATGGCCATTTTGACTAGAAATTAAATACATGAAGGGTGGTCTCTTATTTTTGCACAGCACTGAATATGAGTAATTTCTGTTAAAATATCTAGTATTTCTGTGTAGCACATATATATCAGTATGTGTCGTCTTTTAGTCCATGGTAAATCGCAGAGTTAGCCTCGTGTCCTTCCAGACTTGCAATGTGACTGAGGCAGCTGTCTAGACATGAGCGGCGTCTGCAGCGTCCAACCTGCCTCTGCGATCTGAATAATAATGACCTGTCAGACGGATAAGAGGAATAAAGGATCGCCTAGCTTAAAAACTGCTGTCCAACTTGAATTCACACAGATTCATCTCTGTTATAGTGAGCCAATAAGTCAGCTCACGCCCAGTCACTTCATAGGATCGGTCATATCCCACATCCTCATCAGCACTAATTCAGCCTTCCCTTTCAGTCAGTTTCCACAGTAAATTTGCCATTCTGCTCTTCTGACCTTCTGAGGTTCATTCTCTTCTGTCAGTTTCACCAAAAAGAGCCCATATTCAATATTTTCTTGTATTTTCCTTTTTTTATGTACTAAAAAATGTCCCATAGGATTAAAGAAATCTTTTGTTACTGTGTTTTAACCTTCTTTATGCAAATGACCTCTGTTCTTATTGGCTACTTCACTCCAAAAGCAGCCCAGGCTATAATATAAACAACAAACTGTCAAGATACCCCTGATAAAAATATATGTTTTGTGGATTTTCTAAGTGAAAATAAATTAACAATTTCTTCTACAGGACACAAACTTAAATATGGTATTTTTCTGTTAATTTTAGTCCACAATTTCTATTTATTTAATATTAAATAATAATCTAATTTATATATATATATATATATATATATATATATATATATATATATATATATTAGATTATTATTTATTATTTGCCACACCTTTTATAATATGCCACACCCTTTGTACAGGGAGATAAACAGTAATTGTGCATTAAAATATTAAAATAAATAAAATATATGTATATAATATATATAAAATAGCTTATTTTCACTTTAAAAATCAAGATAACATGGAATTTGACCAGGGGCGCACAAACTTTTGCCCATGACTGTATATATGTATATATATATATATATAAAGTCAAATTGAAATCCTCAGTGATGTGGGAAAAACTTCAACTGCTTCTCTCCTCCGAATGGACGCTTTAGAAGGCTGCAATTATCCATTTGCCTCCTGACATCCATGAACAGCACAGCGTTTAATGGCTTTCCCACGTCTTCCACTCCCATAACTCTGCTACAGACTCTCTGCAGGAACAAGACTCCTCTTCAATTAAAATTTAATGGGCGGGGCCAAACTGCTGTAGGATGTAGTCCTCGTTAAATGTGCTCATGGTTATGACATCACAACCATGGTCAATTCAAAACGGGTAGTGTTTCCATATATGGGCTGTACATTTTAAAACATTGTTTGATGTCTCACATCAAACTCTTATTCTGAAAAAGCGAAGACGATGTTGATCCTCTATGGTATGGGCCCTTTAAGGAATCTGCTATTGTGTTATCGGGTTGTTTTACCTTTGTTTATGCGCGGCTGTTCAGGCTGCTTTGTTCTATTTAAGTATTTCTCTGCTTTAGTTGTCCCTGGCGCGCCTGTTTTGTTCTATGTTTTGAATGTAAATTCTTTGTTTCCCTCGCCGATGAGTTCAAAAGGGCTCGGTGGGCTCCTCAACTTATTTATCTTCGCTTAAAGCTTGCTAATGCATACAACAGCAAGGCCTCCTATGCCTTGTTTCACAAGCAGGTCCTTTGTCTCTCCTTCAGCTCGCCGTGGAATTTGAATTAAAGCTGTTGTAATTTGTCCACAGCTTTGCACATCCTGGACCGCGCCTCAGAGGCCGCGCCAAATGAATGGATTTCATCTCACATCCATTACCAGGCAAACGCTGCACATTGGTCTTTGTTTTCGTTCTCGTCTCCTAATTTTCCATTCCCTGCTCTCATTTGTGAAATGACATCCTTTCAATGTGTTCGCTTATGGAACATGGACTGGGTGTCAGTCAGCATCATTTTACTGATTATGTGAATGTTAGTATTCAAACCACATCAGCAAAGCCCTCACTAAACGCCACCGATATAAACAGAATTTAACATGTCATTGCTTAACCTTTCAAGGTCTATAGTTAGTGCTGTCACCTTATTCAATGTGACATTCAATTTACATTGCATAATAACATATGTCATATGTATTACATAATTATGTAATTAATTACACATGTAAATATAAATTCACATTCAGTTTATATTCTACTACTGACAGCGTCGAGTATGCTCTTCTTTTTTAGTGCGTACTTTATGTGTAATTTTATGTGAATTTCCCAATGCTAGGGAAAACACATTCATAAAATGTCTACAGTTACTCATTACATTCTTTTTATTTGTTATTTTATTTTATTTTTACTTTGTCCTATTTTTGCCCCAGTTTAGTCATGTCCAGTTCCACTCAATAGCCTTAAGTCTTCCCTTTTTACATGATGCTACCAAGCTGGGAGGGTGAAGCCCTGAAAAAAGAAAGTCCACCACATCTTTCCAAACTGCTGCTAAAGCGACTGGACAGCTCAACACGCTTGGAGGAGAACATTAACTGCCAATTCTGTTACATTAGCTAACAACAGCCCGTGGTGGCCAGCATGCAAGTTGTTCTAAGTATTTTGTAGTTCTTTCAGTAAAAATGTGAAAAAAATCCAGTTTTAGTTTTTTATTCGCATATTATTTCCATCTTAAACACCAAACATTTTTATTTGAGTTAAATGATTCAGCATTTTAACAATAAATAAAACGAGGCAGCTATAAAACAAAATTTTAAAAAGACACAAATGTTTAATGTTTAGTATTATGGAGGAAGCACCATTATGCATACAGTATCATCCACATAAAAATGAATTCTACCATTTTCAATGTGTTTTCCAGCCTCAGTAACACTATAATGCAAAAAGCACTGGCCCAAGGATGGAGCCTTGTGGTACCTCATTCACAAATTCCAAGAATTGTAATTGTTTACAAATGTAGTATGGATTGAAACTTTAGAATCAGAGCTTATGCATCTGTTTCAATGAATTATGAGTGAGCAATGCTTAAAAGAATAGATTTGTAACTACTTGTTTGTAACTACAATAATAACTGGACTGGACTGTCTATGGCAACTCTAAATGCTAATTCTAATGAAAGGCCTTCTGTGAAATCCCAGAGGTGAAGCTGTCTTTAAAAAGTCTATCATCCTTGTAATATGAATAAGGGGGTATTTGTCTGTGTGAGTTTGTGGTCAAACAGGGGGCTCAGGTTCTCCAGCCTTGGCTGCGGTCCTCCAAGCTGACTCTGCAGGACAGAAAAGCGACTCACCCTCCTGACCCAGCTAGCACTGGAGCGTCTGCTGCCTGACAGCACGCCACCGCTCCAAGATAACACACACCAGCTCCCGCTGCCTCTGTCTAACCCCCCTGCTAATCAGCGCGCACACACACTGTGCCATCGTCCAGCTGGGAATTCCCCCGGGCCTCTTCGTCCTCCCTCTCCATCACCTCCACCCACACCCAGAATAACTTCACAGAGAATAATTCAGTTTTTTCTCTCTTTGTGCTCCACAGGAGATGTTCACTCCGGAGTGTAAATTCAAGGAGTCTGTGTTTGAGAACTATTATGTCATCTACTCGTCCATCATGTATCGACAGCAGGAGTCGGGCCGGGCCTGGTTTCTGGGCCTTACTAAAGACGGCCAGGTCATGAAGGGCAACCGGGTGAAGAAAACCAAGCCCTCCTCACACTTTCTACCCAGACCCATTGAAGGTGGTGCATTTCTTATTTTACCTGTTTGATTGATATGCAGTGAAAATGAATAGATATGTTTATACATGTATTTCTGCACAATTTAATGCACAATTACTTTTTATTTGGTGAATTTAGCATATTGGGAAAAAATAACGTATAAAATGTGGCTTGTGCAAAAGTAATGGCACATTTTATATTTTGTTTTATTTCTTCCAATATGTTAAACTTATCAAATACATCGAAACTGCAGAAAAATGCCATTTTTAAGTATGTTCTCTGCAGAGAATATGTGAACTTATTTTCACCTAGAAAATCAACAAAACATGTTAATTGCAAGGAGGTGTTCGAACCTTGCATATGACTGTACTGTATGTAAATATATTACATCAACACAGTTATTACTAAAAGTGAGTAAGCCATGTTGATGTTATATAGTTAATTCATGTTATTCAAATGTATTTGAGTCAAGTTAATTTTTGCAGTGTACAGTATTCAAGCTTGTATGGGATTATTAAAACATCTGTTTCATCAACTTACCTCTCCCTAATAACAGAGCTCAAAATGTGAAATTTCCCAATTCTTGGGAAAACACACTCATAAAATTTCCAAAGTTTGATGTATTACTCAATTTATTCTTTTTATTTGTTATTTTATTTTATTTTTACTTTGTCCTGTTTATGCCCCAGTTTAGTCATGTCCAGTTCCACTCTATAAGTCTTCCCTTTTTACATGATGCTGCCAAGCTGGGAGGGTGAAGCCTTGCACAAGCTTCCTTTGAGACACATGAAAGTCCACCACATCTTTCCAAACTGCTGCTTTTAGTTTTTTTATGCATTTGCATATTATTTTAGTCTTAAACACTAAACATTTTTATTATAGTCAGAAAGGTAAAGATATAGTCATATGCAAAAGTTTGAACACCCCAGCCAAACTACATGTTCGGGTGATTTTCTAATTGAAAATGAGTTAACATAATAATATATATAATTCTACATATTTATTATATTATATGTATTTCCAGTATGATAAATTCAGCAAATAAACAGTAATTGTGCATTAAAATGTGCAGAAGTGAAAATAAGTGAAAACAAGTAAACACATCCTCTGTAGAGAACACACTTAAATATGATATATGTTTAAGTTTTAGTGCACAATTTTTATTTAACATATTGAAACAAAAAAATATATATATAACTTTTGTTCAGGCCACATTTTAAATTCCTTTTTTCCACAGTATCTCAAATTCAGCACATAAAGAGTAACTGTACTTCAAAACGTGCAGAAGTGTGTCTCAGTAGAGGATGTGTTCACTTGTTTTCACTTAGAAAATCACTTAGAAAAGTCCGAACTTTGGCAACACTGCAGGACTCTGTTCCAAGTGCATCTGTTACAAATTTACATTGTGTTCTCGTGCAAGTTTGTAAATGTAAGATGTAAATGATAAATCAGACTTTAGTTTCTGACAGTTTTGTCTGTGTGTTTGTTCTGCAGTCTGCATGTACAGGGAGCCTTCGCTGCACGAGATCGAAGAGAAGCAACGCTCCAGGAAAAGCTCAGGAACTCCCACCATGAACGGAGGCAAAGCGGTTAACCAGAACTCCACATAGCAGGGCCGGAACACACATATACACACACATATACACACACACCAACACACACACATACACACACCCTGCCCAAGCCCTAACACCTCGAACCACGGAAACCACGAAAGCCACAGAAACCCAGACCCACGCGCTCTACCAGGACGACAAACGGCTGTTCAAACTGTCAGAAGAACTCGGAGGGAATCAGTGCAAGCAAACATATATTCTCAACCAGGACTCGAACTCACATTTTATGCAAAAAAAAAAAGAAAAGAAATTAAACAAAAAACACAAAAAGAAACAAAAAAAAGGGTCAACAGCAACAAGCAGTAGGTTGATTCACAACAATAGTACTCTTCCTAATAATATTGTTTTGAATTGATGCTGTGAACAAATAACAACAGAGCTTTAAATCATTCTCATGTGTTACGGTAATTCCTGAATGCTCTCGCACCTCCTTGTGCTTGCGCCTCCTTCTTGAGGACAACGAGAAAATTGTTTCTTGACCTTTTCTTCTCCACTTACCATGTCTATTTTCTTTCTGAGCAAATGGTTTGAGCAAGTGTTATTATTATTATTATTATTATTATTATTTCCTTTGCAATTTGCTTAAAGGTGAATGCACTTTTGCACTCTGGACACTGGAGTGTTGGTTAAGGGTGAATGTATAAGAATCTGACTTACAAAGACTGTATTATAATTGCATTTCTGAGATTTCATGGGTGGGACTGTTAGCTGAAAATGAGGATGCTGTGTGAGGGAGGGTGTTGATCTACCTTGTATATGAAACAGGACAGGGTGTAGCCAGCTTTTGGGTTGGCTTAAAGGAATACTTCATTGTTTTTCAACCTAATCTGTACAGGGCACATCTATAGCATACGGTTAATTATCACAGACGAGAACTTCTACATGTTTCTGCACTTAACCCTTAGAACTGTATGCTAATGTGATTTTTTTACATGTTGGTCAATTACAATTACATTTACAAAGCATTTATGTATTGTTGTTGTTGTTTTTTCAGGAGACCCTAGGCTTCTTAAAAATGCTATCGTCATTAATTTTCAGATAGCTTTTCAGAAATTGTTAGACGAGGCCACAAAATTGTGATGGTGTTTCATTCTATGGCTTATTACTTAGAAGAATGCTATGATTAGGATAAAGCAGCGTCAGTTTTTATTGATTTTCTCTCCTCTTGGATCTGAGTGCTAAACTTTGGTAGGCCTCGGAATAATTCCCGATGCCTACTGATTGTTATGATGTGTGTACCATGTCTGTAAATTAAACCATTCTTGAGTTAAGAAGCCTAGAAAAAAGCCATGCAAACAGCAGGTTTGGGGTTCTAAGGGTTTAAGAACAGACCACCCATTGCCTTGAAACACGCTGAAGCAACGTCTAATGTAGGCCTCTTACTGAGAAGTGATTGTCTGTTGTAATTACCTGCTACAGATGCAGCAAATAGAGATTCGGTTTAAAAACGCTGGAGTATTCCTTTAAGCTGGACTTATTATTCATTTTCCAGACATACCTTCTTCACAGCTTTCTGAATCACAGCTCTGGATTGAGTACAGATTGTTTATATGCATGTTTGTGTGCCCCGTCGACTGCAGCTTGTCTGCCTCACCTGGAACAGGATGCAGTTTAACACGTCGGACGGCCGTGAGAATCTGTAAATAGCCGGAAACTGAATTTTCGAAAACTGGATTTTCCGTCCAAAAATTTCCTGGCGCCCATCCCAGACGCTTGTGTTTTTCTCGTAATTCAGATGAGCACTTCTGAGCTAGAGCAAAGCTGACTTAAACCCAGCTTACGCCTTGACAGATGGTGAAATAACTACTCTATACCTCCTTTCCCAAGCATTCTCCAACTCAGGAAGCCCTAGTCTGAGGTTATAACGTTGTTTAGCACTACCACTAGCCCTGTCCAGCCCAAAGCACAAAGACTGGCCATTAGTGTGGCCCCTCGTTGAGGGGCTTCCAGGCTGGAGGTATGGACAGGGTGGGTGGGTGTTTGGTCCGTGGTGGGGGACACACAGGAGCTGCATTACAGCAAAGCCCTGTTTAAAACATTATGCTATTCACCAGTCTTCCACTAGGGGCAGCACTGAGCGCTGAGCCCGAGTCTACTGCGAAGAAAGAGTGAACGAAAAATAGTGAAAGACTCAAACGCATGAATCAGGAATGCTGTGTTTCTTCTTAATGTTGAGTGGACAGGTCATTTGGGGTGGGTTAAGGATGAGGAGGAGAACGTTCCTTCCAAAGGAGATGGAAAAGCAGGAATTGGTTGTAAAAAAAAACGTGGGTTTCCTTTTCTTGCTGTGTACAAAACAAAACAAAAAACAGAACTGTTTATTTTTCATGTTTGCAGATGTTTTCACCTTACTGAAACACTATCATATTATGCATTATGAACTATGAGATGTATAAAAATATGCATTGATATTACAAAGCAGAATGACATTAGGGATTGTTTAAGAATAAAGGTATGATACCAAGCTTTCATTGCGGCGTCTCTGCAGTGTCTCCATATATCAGTAACATTTAGTTCAACACAGATCATTTTGTTTGACGTGCCCAACTAAGGAGCTCCGGGCCAAATCCATAAAACACCAGATTTACCCGGACATTAAGAGCAAATGTTGTGGTGATGACACGTTTGCTCACTCATAAATGAAGATTACTGGAAAGTTTTCCCACCTTCACGATGTAGGCGTGGATGTGCATCTCCTTAATTTACATGCACCAGTGGAGACTCATAATACAACACAATTCCCCAGGAAATATTAACTGCTCTGCTGGTGCTAATTGCTAGCACTCTGGCAATAATCTTCCTAGTAAAAAGCTGATGTTCATTAAGTGTTATTTTCTAGTGTTTACAAACACTGGGCCTCATTCACCCATATCTTCCTACATTTTTTGATAATTTTGGGCCCAATGCCATTTCACCCCTCACCCCTACCACTCAGCCCTACCCCTCCGTTTTGCACGTTCACATCTAGGTGTAGGGTGTCCTGATTGTTGTTGAGATTGAGGGGTAGGGCGAAGTGTTAGGGCTACATGGCCCTCCAAACAGAGGTTTTTCGGAGGCAACACTCCAAACAAAAAAAAAACTAGCAAGATGGAGCACAAGCGACCAAAGAAACCCACAAATGTGAGGATTTTCTCAGTTAAGAAATTACAATAACCACTGTATTGTCTTAGTTTAATGTAGTTTCAGTGTATTATGGTCCTTTTCTTCATGCCAAGCATAAAAATTCACTAATAGTTTGCTGATGTCTCGGTAGCTAGCTGGCTAAATTTCCCATTCCACCTTAAATAGTCCAGCAGTTCTGACACCTGCTGCTCTATTTAAGGTAGAACAAGAAAATTTGAATGAAAAGCTGGCGAATAGGTGACTTCAGCTTCGTATCACTAAAGAATTAGCGGTGGGTAATAATAAATAATTGTCCCCCTCTTTGAAGGCATATGATGCCCTAAATGTAACTAAAGCCCAGCAGTGAGGAGCTGAAATTTACTCTCCTCTGCTGTCACTACAGACTGGCAGGGTCGCCTACAGAGCAGCGCTAGTAGCTGCTAATGAAGTAACGCTCTTTTTTATTTGAGGGTCCCATTTTGTATGGGAAGATTTCACCCACTACCTTTTGTAACTCCAAGGGGTCCTAAGAAAAAGTCTATGTCAGATTCATGACGTGTTCTTAAAGCGCAGAACTGTTCTCACCTATGTGCTCTTGAGTGTGTGTAGATTCTGTTCTTACCTAAGAACAAATCCCACATAAGAAAACATGGTGAATATCAGAATCTCTGTGAAAACTTCATAGGTGGGTTTTAAGAAGAAATTTCCTCTTAAGAACGGTTGAATGAGGTCCAATGTTTGGTCACATTTGCAAATCATCAACAAATTACACTCCACCCAACTGACCATTATATTTAAAAGACACGTTTTAACCTGTTTGGACTGATCATCACATGAAAACATCTAACTGCTGTTGTAGGAGAGCAGGAGAAGGATTTCAGATTGCCACAAACATTTGCTGCATTTAGGCTGTAATCCAAATATGTAAAGAGTAAGTTGACATGTTGAGATTCTAATCACATTTTCACATTGATTTTCCTGCAAGCAGTCTTAGCTTTGAATCCCATTTTTCAATTTACAATGGATTTGTAGTGTGTACTGCTGAGAAAGAGACTCAGCACAGCTTAAGCTTTGTTAAAGGCTGTAGTCGGCCACAGCCACACCATACAAGAAGCAAGGCTTTGGCTAACATCTAACTCTAGAATCAGCTCATGTCTGCACTCTCTCACTCTCTGACTGACCAGTTCTTCCTGTTGTAATGCGTAAACACAGAGAAGAATGGCTAGCCACAATAAGAGTCTTTTTTCAGAATGAATCTAAAAAATAACTGCTGGAGAACAATAAGCCAGCGTTAACATGCAGAAGATTTTTCTCAAGAATTCAATTTGCACATGTGAAAATGACATTTTACTCGTAAAAATTCATTTCTAACTGGTCAAAACTGATTTTTTTACAAGTCCAAAGTTACTACTTACTAGTTTTCACATGTGCAAATTGAATTCCTATGATAAAAAGTAAATAAAAGCTAAAACAGCAATCAATTAACAAGCTGTCAATTTAATTTATAGCTGTATGGAAAGAAAATGCCATTTGTTAAACTTTAATTCATGTTAGTAAAAACTGAAATTATAATAAATTTGGAAAAAGCTTTAATTACTAATGAGAAATGAAATATGCTAAAATATAATTCCTATGATTAAAAGATGAGGATCTTATTGTTTGTTTTTAAAGTAATATTTTATCAACAACATTTTCTTATTAAGAATCTTTGGTTCTTGATTAAAAGTTAAATGACTTGCTGTACCTGAGACTCCCACTAATATCTAGACGCTTTTTCTTTAACATTATTTTTTTGTGCTGTCATGGATTTTGACTGTTGACAGCAGTTAGTGTTACATTCCCTCCCACGTTTATATGTTCTGCACCTGTCTCCTCAATTTGTTCTTACTTGCAGCACTTCTTCTCTTAAAATTCACAGCTTTGTTTCTGAGAATTTTGGATTTCTTTTTTCATTTCTGTCATCATATCCATATAAGAAGCCAAACAGACCTTCACTGGGATGGGTCTTTAATATGTATGATGTCATGTGCATGTGGATTTCGATTGGTTCTTGTCTAGGACACTGGTGAAAATACTCCAGTGTTAAAAGACACTCTCATGCTAATTACCACCACAGTGACCAGACGAACAGCTCTTATTTACAGAGCAGCATATTTTTGTGATATCGCCAAGTTTTATGAA